CATCTTGAGGTAAATCAGCGACGTCATTTGGGGGAGGGATTTTTTGTTTGGAATTAAGCACAAACATACCCCCTCCCACCCGAGCAACCATGTACGTGAACAACCATGCAATTGTTTAAGCTATGTTTCATGCAAAATTGCTTCCAGATTTCATCTCACAGCACCTATTTTTTACTTTTTTTTGGAGGGGCATGACCCCAAATCCCCGTAGCATTATCGTGCTGATTGTGTTTCGCACAATATTTGTTGGCTTTTGATCTCACAAATTAGAACTCCCCTTTCAAGCCTATAAAACACCCGTAAATAAATGTCTCTTGTTATTTTCTTTCTTTTCTTTTTTTCATTTACGCAGTCAAATGGTAAACAATACAACACAGAAGTGACGAATAATAACAATAAAAATTAATTCGTTATTCCAAGGTTGTATTGTTCATCATTTGACGAGTTCACAAATATGACGGACAATACTACTTTCGAACTTTCGAGAAATATTACCAGGAGAAATTTTGAATGAAATTTGATTATATTCTCTGTAGACTAAAAAAGCTACTATATGGAAAACACAATATCGTGATATCTTTCACTGTTCATTGCTACCTACATCAAGAACATTCCAAAAGAAAAAATAGAAATGAAACATCACCTTTATACAACTGATCCAGTAAAAATTATGTTACAACACGTATCCTTCCATTGACGCCTTGCATATGTGACAGACAGTTAACAACAATACTAATGGGAATAACTTAAGACAATGAGTAACCAGAGTTCAGACAAGTTATTTACATACCGGTACCATAACCATTTCTCTATTTTAAAAAACTTCTACTCGTGCCTGCATACACTTACATGTGAAAATTTTCCAAAATTTTATATGGACATGTAACATTCACTTATCTTATTAAAATGAAAAGAAATAACTAGTATTTGAAACAAATCACCCCATAAGAAAAGAAACTGAAATCACAGGACAGTCATTTATCATACGAATCCTTAATGAATATTTCAAACTTGAAAGCCCTCCAGTGGCACAGCGGTATGTTTACGGACTTACAACGCTAGAAACAGGGTTTCGATACCCGTGGTGGGCAGAGCACAGTAGCCCATTGTGTAGTTTTGTGTTTCACTGCAAACAAACAAACAAATAAACTTGAAAATTAATTTTATTCTGAAAAATCTACTCCTATTAACATGTTATGTTTGAAGTAAAAATGAACAAATTAATCTTTCCCCCTCCCCTAGGACTGGAAGTGGCCAAGTAGATACCATGCTGGACTGTGGATTGAGTAACCATGGTTCACATCCCATTGGCACACACACACACACAAAGAATGTACTCTGCATTGTTATGCCTTGAATATGTTATAATACTGATGGTTAGATTTTGCTATTAGATTAAAGTGGCAGTGAGCGCTGTTGACTAGTCACCTGCCCTCTAGTCTACTTGTTCAATATTAGTGATGGTTAGTGCAGATAGCCCTTTATAGCTTTGCACTTAATATTCGAAACAAAATTTGAATCATAGCTTCATGGTGCTAAATCAGTGGCTTGGTCTGGTTGGTGATTAGAGCGCTCGATTCGCAATCTGCAGGTCTGTGATCGAAACCCGACTCCGAACATGTTCCTCCCTTTCAGTGTGCATTATAATGTGACGGTTAGTGAAGAGTAGCCCAAAAGTTGAAGATGGGTGTTCTCTACGATCGGCAGTTCCAAATTAGGAACAGTGGTAGATATCCCTATATTATAGTAACTTTGTCATAAACAAACAGTTGGATCAGGGAAGCTCCCTGAATTAGGCGAACGTCTATGTGTTCGTTGCCTGGCTATTCGGATGGTAAATATAAAAATGTTTAATATCTGTATATTAGACTAAACCCCCAAACAGTTGAAAATTACTGTAGTATTTCGTTTTTTATTCCATTGTATCTTACGCTTATAATCCACTCTTATTCTTCCCGCGGGTTTATAATCAGCCTAAATTATTTAATCAAATCCAAATATTACAACAACACATTTACTGAATAATACAAAATAGATGTCGCTAATTCCATGTTGCACTACAAATTCAAAATGGAGGATACGGAGAGTTCAGAAACGTCTGTTGATGACCGTATTGAAGATTTAAGCGAATCTCCGACTAGGGATGCATTAGCAGATGGCCTGATTGAACTCTTGAGACCAACTGTGGAGCAAATAGATGAAAGAGTGAAATCAACAAGGTGAAGATATCTAACGTTAATTCATATTCGCACTGCTATCGTTAGTATAGTATTATTATTATTACTGATATAATAATACTATAGAGTAGTTTTAAAAATAAGTCTAACTTCTATTACAGTTAGTATTAATCTAAGTTTTACTATAGTTCTAAGTTACTAACAATAGTAACAGTAACTGATTAATCATTAAATAACAATAATTTTACTATTTATGCTACTTAACTTATTCAGATGAGTCAGAGTAAGACTGAGTAAAACTAAAAGTCTTACTCTTAGACTTTAGAGAAAGAAACTACTGTACTGTATAATGTATTACTGTTACGTTCTCATTTGTGAGAGCCCTAAGATTGAGAAAGAGACTAAGTTTTTACATAGACATTGATTATTAATAATACTATCGTATATACAAACACTGTAAATTGTAATACTAATAATGACACTGGACATTTAAAATTGGCTCTGTTGAATAATTTCTTGTCTTGGTAGAACTAGAAGTGTATAACCAAGAATTTGAGGCATCAAATAAACATTATATCTAAAAATTACTATAAGAAAGTTAGAAACAGTATTACTATTAGGGCTAGAAGTAGTGAATTTAACTGCAATATTTAGGTTCTGTTAATAGTTTTTGGTTTTTAGTTTGCACAAAGGAGAAACTAGGTGAAGGATGGAAAATAAAAATAATGTAAAATTTAAGAAAGTGACTGTGTGGTATGGCATGTAGATTGGATAGTCTATGAGATAGAGAGAAAATATGTTATCTGGGGACAGGGGGAAGAGATTAGCTAACATATCGAGTATGATAACTAAGGATGTTAGTGTTACTGTTAGCAGTAATCCAATATTAGTAGTACATGTAGGAAATAATGACTTAGAAAATGGTAAGTCAGAGGAAGTAATTGAGAAGTACAGGAAACTGATGAAGGCATTTACTGAGAAGGGTCACAAATTAGTTTTGTCAAGGGTATTACCATGCATTAAATTTGGAGGTGAGCTTTTAAGTATGTCTCTAGGACTGAATTCTAAACTTCAGTCATTCAATAAAAATGAGCTTATAAGTTTGACAGACTTGTGGAATAAATTACCTGGAAATAAGTTTTTTATAATGTATAGGCTACACTTAAGTATGTTGGGAGTGGACATGTTTGCAAAAGCTATCAAATCAGCTCTAAAGACAACATTATACTCAGGCTTGATATAAGTGAATGCCAGGAAAGATTAATGCAAAATAATACAGGGTATAGGCAAGAAAAGTCTTGCTTTTTATTCTAATGTTAGAAGTATTAGAAACTGATGAGCTTAAAACTCTTGTTGATATGGGGAAATCTGATATTAATTATTATAGAAATCATTGAGAATTGGTAAGATTTTGATGATAGAAATTTATTTGAAATACACGGCTATAGCTTGGTTAATAGATTATTTAAAAAGCTAGAAGGTGTAGCCTTATATATAAGGCACAAAATTGAAGCTGAGAATATTAAAGAGTATAACTCATAGGTTGAATCACCATGGGTATGATGATTGTGTGTCATGACTTTTTACATAATGCACTGGGAATGCCAGATGAAACAAATCACTTAAGAGGTTAATTGAAATCTATTATAGTTCACCTGATCAGCTTGATGAAATTAATGAGAAATTCTGTAATTAGATCAGTTAACAAGGTTTTAATCACAGAAAATTTTCATTTTAGCCAGTTTATTGAATGGGAAACTTTAGTGTCAAACTGTGAGGGGGTTAAATTCTTAGAAACTGTTTCAAAGAGTTTTATTCATCAAGTGGTTAAGATATGTACTAGAGAAGTGTCTTAATTTGAATTTATTAGTAATTTCCAATCTGGATATGATTGAGAGATGGAAGTGAAAGAGCATTTGTGTACAAGTAAATCACCATACAATTACTGTAAGAGTAATACATATGGAGATCAAGAATAATAGTAATTTGGTCCCAAATTTTTCAAAGGCTAATTTTGAGATGATGTAACAAGAATTTATTCTAATTGATTGGAATACTGAAATAAATGGAGATTCTTGTCAGATGTGGGAGGTTTTTCAAATTAAGATGTTAAGTATTCAAGGTAATTGTGTTCCACAGAGGAAGATGTTGGCTCACTAGAATTGCTAAAGATAAAATTAAAAATAAATATTACAAATTTCAAAGTTAACAACAAAGATGGAAAACTGGAAGGATTATATAAAATCAAAAGAGCTGGTTAAAATAGATATTAGAAATCAAAGACATGAAGAAAGATTATCTGAAAATTTTAAAACTAGCAGTAAAGATTTGTGTAAATATATTAAGTAGTGCTTTTTTTAATGGGGGTCTCGGTCTATTACCCAGAATTTTCCTTTGGATGCTAAAAATTTAATGTGTGCAACAATGCACACAAATGGATAAACAAGACAGACAGTATATAGACGTTTAATTCAAATGATCTGGTTTTGAACATGTAGTATGTTGCAATGTGGCAATCTTGTATAGTTACAATGAAATTTAGCATACAAAGTACAGAATTGTGGGATCTCTTCAAGTTTTTTGAATGGAAATTCCAAAATTTATGTCCTGGAAGCCCTGGACTTCTTTTTTTTTGGAAAGGTATTTTAAAGGTAAGCATAATTTTAAAATGAAAATTGAGTCTTTCAGGGATGCCAAAGGAAGGGTTATTGTGGAAGATTATTGTATGGTTGAGTTGCTAGGTTTTTCTTCAGTTTTACCAGAGAATATGTGAACAATATTTCATATTATGAGAAATTACTAGTAGGAAATATTATATAAACTTAATATTAGCTGTGATATGATTAATGAAAAATTGTGAAGTTTAGAAAATTATAAGGGTCCTGGGCTACATAATATTTTACCCAGGGTTTTAACAGAAGTTAAGGATTGCACAAGTAACCTCCTTACTTAATTGTTTGTGAGTCTTGAAATTATTTCTTATGGGGAAAAATCTTGTCTCACAAATCGTTTGTCCTTCTTCAAAGATATCACTGCTTGTATTGACATGGGTAGGTGTGTGGATTTGGTATACTTGAATTTTCAGGAAGCCTTTGACAAAGTGTCATATGCACATAGGACTAATAAAGAAATTTATTTATGTAGGTGTGGGGGATAAGTTAGCTCATTGAAGTAAGGGTTGGTTAGATGACCAGAAGGAAAGGGTTGTAATAAATAAAGTTCAATTAAACTGGATTGGATTTGCAAATAGAATATCTCGGGGCTCTGTATTGGGATCCTTACTCTCTTTGATATAGATTAATTCCCGATTTCAGAAAAATATGTTGGTTCAATAAGTCTTTATACAAAATAATAAAAACACTATAACCCGAGTAATAATGGCTGGAGACGGCTTAAATGGGTAATGAAGAAAAACTTAAATAATAAGTTTAACATGACAGCAAATGTACAACGTTTCGACAAGGTTTTGTCATCATCAGGTACTAGTAATTTACACAGACACGGATATATATATACAGATTGAAC